AAACATACAGAACGCTGTGTTCCATCCTGAACCATCAAAGCCTTCAGAGGGAAGATGGATATCTGTATTTTAAATAGTGTACAGAGTGCAAGGACTTCTGGTCTTTTTAGAAAATCTTCCTCTCCAAAAGATAAGAGAGATATCGTTTTTCTGAGCATTTATTATGTACCTAATACTTTACTGTGTCATTTCATTTACTTCCTACATTAGGAAATGCACATTATTGGCTCCATTTCATAGGTATTAAAAGCAAGGTTCAGAAGAATAAGTCACTCGCTCAAGAGATGGAGCCTGGCTTTGAAAACCAGGCTGTATGCACTCTATCTGGCTACCCCTCTGAAGCTCCCACTTGAAATCAAATTAAGCCATTTGTCTGCTTATTGCCTCCAGAGTTATAGAAAATATAGAAAACCCTCTCAGTAAGTTGGAAAATGCCAGTAACCTGTGAAGAATTGGGGAATGAAGAGAATGGTGAATTCCCATAGCAGGTGTTCAGGGATCATGAACCCTCCAGAGAATCATCTCTTTCTCAGGCTCCATCTTTCTGCTTCTGCTGCAAATCTCAGCTTAGCTGACATTTTCTCTAGGAAGCCTCCTCTTACTCCCAAACCTGGGGTAGACGCTCCTGCTACAGGCTCCTAAAGTCCCCTGTATCAGTGGACTGCAGCTGCTTGTTTACTGGGTAAACTCCACAAAAATTAGAGCCATTTCTACTTTCTCCACCAACATATGCCCAGCACAGCGCCTGCCATGTGAGTACTCAGTCAGAATGGGGAGAGGAGGAGGGGAGGGAAGGCCCTTGCTAAAGTTCTAAATGCCATCATGCTGAGACGGGAATGGCAAAGCACTGGAAGCCAGAAGATGCACAAGAACAAAGTGTCTTACCTTGGGCAAGTTCATGTGGGGGCCAGGGGAGGGGGGTTAGTTACCTCATCTGAAAATGAAGACAACAGCACCTCCCTCATAGGTAGGTATGAAGATCAAATTGAAGAATGATCCAGGCTGTGATGTGCTCCTTTACACTGTCTCTCCCTAGATCTCATCCATTTTGTTGGCTGACATCTAAGTGCTGACAACTCCCATATTTATATCTCCAGCCCAGATCTCCCCCTAGGCTCCATGTGGATGTCTCACGGGTATCTCTAAGACAGCACGTGAATTCCACAACCCGCTCCCCACCCAGTCTCCTCCACTCTGTTATTGGTGCTCCCATCCATCCAATCTTTTTTTTTTTTTTGGTAATTGAGATGAAATTCACATAACATAAAATTAACCATCTTAAAGTGTACAATTCAGTGGCATTTAGTATATTCATAATGTTGTGCAACCACCACCTCTATCTAATTCCAAAACATTTTCATCAACCCAAAAGGAAACTGTTTACCCTTTAAGCAGTTATGCCTCATTTACCCTTTTTCCCCAAGTCCCTGGCAAACAGAACTCTGCTTTCTGTCTCTACGGATTTAAATACTCTAGATATTTTATATAAATGAAATCATACAACATGTGACCTTCTTTGTCTGTCTTCTTTCACTTAGCATGTTTTTGAGGTTCGTTCACATTGTAGCATATAGGAGCACTTCATTCCTTGTTATGGCTGAGTAATATTCTACTGTCAGTATATACTACATTTTGTTTATCCATTCCCCTGTTGATGGACATTTGGCATCCACCCAATCTTAAACCATAAACCCACAGGTCACCCTTGATTCTTCCCTTTCCTCTATTCCCAGTATCTAATGTATCAGCAAGTCCTCATCCATTTTACAATGAAATATAACTCTATTCCTTCTACTTTTCTCCAATACCACTGCTGTTCTGTACCCAAGACACCAACATCTTTCTCACCTAACTCCGAATTTGTGACAAAATCACATTCCTCTCTTGCCTCCATTTTTCACTTGGTAGCTACATAAACCAGAGCACCCATTAACTCTAGCAATATTTACTGAACTCTTTTCTTCATGGAGCTTGCCTCCTAGAGGCATGACAGACAACAAACAAATATATATTACAACCTTAAGTCATTATTATTAGGCTTAAAATCCCTCAATGACCTTCCATTGCACTTTGAATAAAATCCAAGCTCAGCATGGTCTTCCAAGGACTCATCTACTTCTCCAAATTCATCTCAGGCCGTTCCCCAATCACCTGGGCTCCATTCTTCCACCTCATGATCCTTGAATAAGCTGCTCTCTCTGCCTCTTGATCTTGGCATTGCTTGGTCCTCCTCATCCCTCAGATCTCAATATAAGTATCACTCCTTAATATGGCCTTCCCTAACCATTCTGTTAAGCAGATCCAAGCCTCATTCATTTCACTCATTCAAGAAATCTGTGCTAATCACTGTGCTGGGATCTTGGGATAAAGCAATATGTGACCTCCTGAAGCCTCCAGTCTAATGGGGAGGACCACCAACTAGGAAATAAATAAAATGAATGAACAAGTACTATGATAGGAGAGTAAAGGGGAGGGGACCTGCCTTACAAAGGATGGTCCAAGAGGCCTTTCTGAGGAAGTTATACTAAAACTGAAGGATGAGAAAGTCAATTGGGAAAAGGGCCTATTACTCTCTATCACTTCCTGGCTATGCAATGGGATGTTCTATCCTTCAATGTTGGCTCCTGAAGAAATCAAAGCATTAATGTCTGTCTCTCCCCTGACAGACTCCACCGTATTCCCAGAACCTAGGACAGCACCCTGCCATTTAGGAACCACTCAGTGCACATTGCTGAATTAATAACTGGTAAATAAATGAATTAATTAATCAAACCACCAATGAAATCACTTCATAGAGTGTAACAAATCATATTGTTTTGATTGCTGCTGTTGTTATGGCCATTATTTTATGACAAAAGGACACATACTCTGTTGGGTTTTGGAAAAGACTGGGCTGACTATAAAACAAGGATAAAATTACCTGACTCAGAATATTACTAGACAACTAGGAGACAATGCATACAGATAATAGGCACTCAGTAACGGGAAGTGGTAGTTATTGTGGCTATTATTATTAAAATTCCTTTCCTCTAAAAAGCCTATTTACCCAACTCTAACTTTCCAACCCACTTTCAGACGCAGTCAAGAAGTTTGAAGGCGAGAGAAATGAATGCTTTTTAAATGTCTGTTCTGCACCAGATGCAGTGCCAACCAGTTTCTGTCAGGTTATGACATTTACTTCCCAAGGCCTTCCTGCAGAGGTGGCTCTATGATACAGCTCTCAATCCCCCTCCAAGACCAAGGCACTCCTTTCTACCGTGCGCCCTGCTGCCACGAATGTTGGCTGAGTCCCTCTTCAGGAACTGTCTTGCTGAAGGGACAACCGAAGTTATGCACCCCCTGCATCTACTGGCTGGTCAACATGGGACTTCAAAGCCTTGGTCCCCATGCCTCAGGGGATCAACTGAGGCGTCTTTTGCACTACATCACAGGTCCACTTCTCCCTCTGCCCAATCCTGTTTTCCTGACTCCTCACCCCCTTGGACAGTGAGACCACTCCCCCAAAGTCCCCCTATACACAAACCTCAGAATCTCTGAGTCTTTTTCCAGAGAACCTGACCTAATAAAGGTAGTTATGCTATTTCTTTTTAAATCAGAAAACTGAAATTCGGAAAGGTTGATTACGTCCCCCAAGCACATAGCTAAAGTGACTTTCTGCTCTGACTCCCCAGTGACACCTAGCTTTTTACTACAGCCTCTAAGAGCTGAGACTGTGCCTCTGTAAGACAGAAAGAGAAGGGGAGAGGTACCCTTCCCAATCCTCCAGGGTCCATCCCTGATGACAAGGTTGAGTTCAAAGCCTCCAGAAACAATATAAAAATGGCCCGCAGGTTGCAGAAGCAAGTGTCACGTGGGCAACATCTCCTGGCCCAAGTCCTTGCCCAGAAGCCAGGGAGCAAGGCTTCTGGGCAGTTGGGGCTGCCTTCCGGAACCAGAGTATTCACAGCCGAGTCTGAACAGCAACTACAACTTACCAGCTCTCTGCTGCTCCAGTCTCCATCCATTTTGCACAGAGCTACCAGAGTGACCTGGTCACTGGTCAGAATTCCTCCACCACTCCGTCCCAGGACAAAACTCGAGATAGTCTAAGGCTGCATTTTAAGGCCTGAGCGTGGTTTAGCCCCCTGCCATGCCGACAGCCCATTCCCTACCGACAGTAAGCCCTGGTCCTACGTGATCACCTGATGCGATACTGGGCTTTTTCAGCTTCCTTACCCCCTGGCACAAGAAAATCTATCTGGAACTCCCGCTAACCCACCAGCCCTCCCCCTGCACCCCCTCCCCGCAGCTCTCAGCGGGGCTAACCCTCCGACTCCTACAGTCCTCACTCCGTGGTCACCTTCGCCCCGAGCCCTCCTGGCTCCTTCACTCCTGCTCTCCACCTCGTGTCCCCTGTACTACAGTGTTCGCTAACTGTTCCTCCTACTGTCCTTCTTGGCCCCCAAAGCTCCTCCAAAGCCCGTCTTCGCGCACCAGGGCTCAGCACTGTGCCTGGCACACAACGGGGACCGCCGAGTAAATGCTGAATAGATACACGGGGCGCGGTATCCAGGGCCAGTCTCCGCTCCGAGCTCGGCCAGGGAGCCGCTCGGAGATCTCCCCCTGCGCCCCAGGACGGCTGGAAGTAGGAGATGGTTGACAGATCTGACCCCCAGCCCCAGGTCAACAGGTCCTGAGGCGTCTGAAGACCTGGGCCGAGCGGAGGTCCGGCCGGGAGCCACCCGCGCCCCAGGCCCTTCCCGCGCGCCGACCTGTCCGTCGCAGGGTCGGGCCCGGGCCGGGAGGCGGCAGCCTGTGGAGGGAGCGCGGCGCGGCGGCTCGTCGCCTCCCTCCCGGGCCCTCCGCGCGCCCGCATCCCGCGGGCACAGGGCCGGCGCGCCGGGGACGCGGCCGGGCGCGAGGACGCCACCGGCAGCGCCGTCTGAGGGGCCGAGGGCGGGAGGGGGCTCCCAGTTTCCGGAATCCCCACAAAGTCTACTTCGAGGCGGCGCTCCGCTTACCGTGCGAGCCGCCAGGAAAGCGGCGCCGGGGCGGGGTGGTTGCCTCGGCCGCGGCGCCCGTCTGCGGATGCACTCCGGGTCCGCGAGCTCAGCCTCCGCACCCGACCGCGCTCGAGCGTCTCCTCTCCGCCGCCTGGCCTCCCCGCCGCGCCGAGCCGCCCCATTGGCTCGGGCAGCCAGGCCCCGCCCCGTGGCCACGCCCACCCCGTGGCCCCGCCCCTCCGCCCCGCCCCCCACCGCGCTCCTCTGCTCTCCGCGCGGGAAAGTTGCTCCCAGACTCTGAGCCCTCCCCCGGCCCAGGCAGCCGAGTGCGGTGATCATGCTCGATCCCAAGAGCGTCTCGACGCCCCTTGGGGAGTGCGAAGAGTGCGGCGTCCTTAGAAGCCAACTTTGAGAAAGGCACCTGACCTCCCAGGACCTCAGGAGGCGCCTCGGAGAAACCCGGCCGCACCGTCGTGGCGTGTCTCAGGTAGTGTGGTGGGCACTCAGGGCCGGGGTGCAACAGGAACAAGACGAAGTCTGTCGCCCTCCTGTAGTTTGCGTGGGGTCGGGGTGGGGGCAGGTTAAGTGCAGAGAAACCAGATAATGTCGGATTGTTCTGAGAGGGAAAGGTGATTTTAAGTAAGGAACGGGGTCGGGGACGCTATGAATAGAATGGTTTCCTGCGGCCACTTGGGGAGGTGATAACTGATCTGAGAGTTGAAAGATAGAAGGGATTCCACGGCTGGAGGAAGAGCATGGCCGGCAGGGGGCACCGGATGCGCCGTGGCTCTGCGGCCAGAACCGGAGACGAGGCAGGCCCAGAGCGCAGAGCAAGGGCAAGGTGCGCCAGGCTGGAGAGGTGGCCGGGGCCGAATCCCCCGGAACCCGGTGGGCCACCCTAAAGAGCTTCGGTTTGTTGTAAGGACAAAAATAAGCCCCTGAAGGGTTTTAGGGGAGGGGGCGCTATGGCATGTTGAAAACACCACTCTCGTTGTTGTGTGGGGAATAGATTTTGGAAGAGAAAGAATGACAAAGGGAGACCAGTTAGGCGGTGTCTTAGTCTGCTCCCGCCATCATAACAAGATACCATAGGCTGGTTGGCTTAAACAACAGAAATTTATTTCCTCATCGTTCTAGAGGTGAAGATCAAGGTGCGAGCGGGGTCTGTTTCTGATGAGAGCTCCCTTCCTGGCTTGTGAATGGCTGCCTTCTCCCTGTGTCCTCACGTGGCAGGGAGAAAGAAAGAGAGCAAGTCCTGTGGTGTCTCTTCTCAAAAGGACACTAACCCTGTCATGAGGTCCCACCCTCATGACGTCATCCAAATCTAGTTACCCCTCCCCCAAAGGCTCCATCTCCAACTATCATCCCGCTGTGGGTTAGAGCTTCAACATATAAATGGGGGGAGTATAGTTCAGTGTATAACACAGGAGGATACTGCAAACCCAGGCAAAAGATGACGGTGACTTAGACCAAGGTGGTGACAGCAGAGGCGGGGAGAGTAGACCAGTTGAAATACATTTTTAGAGTATCGCGGAAAGGCTTGATGATGAACTGGATTTAGGGAATGAGGAAAACAGCGATGAACAAAGATTGACTCCCAGGTGTTCAGCTCGAGCCATTCATGGGATAATGGTGCTATTACCCACGTGAGGAAGACTAGGAAGGAACAGGTTGGAGGCAGAAGGAAATTAAAAGCTCCATCGTGAACATTCTAGAGACCCATGAGGCAACTTACAACAACAGTGCCAGGTTTTCTTCAAATTGTTTTTCATATATTAACCAAATGTATATATAATTCTCATATATTCTGAGATCTGAGTCGGGGCTAGAGATGTGCCCGAGGGAGTGTTCTGATGTGGAGCAGTACAAGACCACCTAGTGTGAGACAAGAGGAGAGCCAAGGACTGAGCCCTTGGAAGTTTGTCTTCCAACATCTCTGCTTACTGCATGACCCTTAGGAAGTGACCTCAGTCAATAGGAGGGAGTGACCCAACTTCAGTAACTAAGGGAGTAAGACTAGCTCAGGAATCGCAAACTTAGGGGACAGGCAGTAATGTAGCAAGTGAAGTTGGCAGGGTGTGATAGAACAGGGAGGGGTGGAGACTGAGGCATACTGATGTGTACACCTGCCTTAGGGGGCAGCTTGTTACTCAGCAACAACTCATTTTTGCCATATAGCAGTAGGGACCTTGAGTTGCCAGATGATCTGATTTTTATTAAACGGTCAGAAATTCAGATTATGTTAAATCTCCAGGTTTTTACAAGTTGGCAATTAATTTAAAAAAAATTTTAAAGGACTGTGTGAGCCAAGAATTTTGAGCAAAATCAAACCCATGTACAGGCAGGATTTGCCCCTTTGGCTGCTACTTTCCACCTCTGGATTAGGCAATACCTCAGATCCTTCCTGAGTTTCTGTTCAGACCCAGATAATGACAGTAGTGGACATAAGAGGATCAAGGAAATCTCAACTCAGAAACCCAGCATAGTCTTTGATGGCATTTGGCCTGTCTCTGCCTCTACCCACCTGGCATATCCTTTTTAAACCTCTGTTTCCCTACTTGTGAAATGAGGTCAGAGCAGAGCTCCCCTAAGACGCCTCCCAACTCTAAGATTTGGACTTATATGTAGTTTTCAAAAAAAACTATTGGCTTTCAAGTATGCACAGGAGAGTTGCTTGGAGAAAAATGGAAAGGGTGTTCTTGTCTGAGTCTATAGATTCAAAAAGCTTCACTAATATCAGTTTTAAGGAAAGAAAGGAGGAAACAGGGAGTAGGATAGAAGTGTAGATGAAACACCAGGCAAATTATGGCATGGAAAATTATTTTTTATTGCACTATGAATAAGAAAAGAAAAGGCATTTAGATGCAGAAGTGCTTAATGGTTTCTATTGAAAATTCAATGTATCATAGCCAGTTCTCTATATTTATCACCAAGGTTTTTGCAGTAATGAGATTCTCCCATCATGTATTGGAGGTCAGCTGCATCCCAGCATTATTTATTCTTATGTGCTGAGCTTATGTAATAAAAAGAGTCTGAAAACAGATAATGACTCTCCATAGTCAGTCCCTTTGTCCCCACCTGAGATATTGTTGAAAGCTGGAGAAACAGCTTATGACTTTATAAATTGCTGGGTTTTGTGTAAGAGAGTGAATGTGGGGTTGGAAACCAGAAGACCTGACACACAGTCATTGAACAACCTCTCTGAACCTTCTTCTTCTGTGAAATGAGAGCTGGACCAAAGATGGCTTCCTGGAAGATATTTGTATTTATACCTCCACATCTCTTTGGGGGAGTTTTTCATTGTGTGGGGACCTGACAATTCCCAGGGCCAGATCCTTCCACAGTTTGCTTTCTCCCGGTCCGCAAAAATACTTGGGGTAGGGATGGCACCTAAGTTGGGCCAGTTAGATGCTCACTCCTGGGACTTTGTCTCTCCAGAATGTAACAAGGATGGAAAGAGATTGGCCGTGAGATTGAGCAGACTGATGATGGCCGCAGCATCGGCATCCTAAAGAGGCTGGACCAGTGGTTGCTGCTTGGTCATGAATCTTGTTGGCCAACCCCCAGATTCCTTTGATTTCTGCCTTTTTCCCAAGCTTAATCCGTCATGCCATCCCGTCCCCCATCCAATTTTATTTTATGAATGTTCTATCTCTGCTAAATCCCCTTCTTGTGTTAGCAACCTATGTTATTTCTCTCGCTTTTAACCAAGAATCCTGATGGGTCCAGGAAGGAAAGAAACATATTGCATCATAGGATTCTTTCTTTGAACAATTCAGCTCAGAAATTTGCATACATATGGATGCACCCACAGTGACAGGTGTACACATTGTCTCACTACTCAGTAAGAAATCCAACCCCACAGGATGATGGTGGTGGTGGTTTAAAAAGATAATTTATTTTTGATAAGAACCCAGATCTGCTATTCTTATCCGATCTAAAAAAAAAAAGCAAGCAAGTCCTTATAATAACAAAACAACTGTACAAATAAGCCCCCTTATATGTAAATTTTGTAGTTTGCGAAGTCCCTCATTTCATATGCCCTCCTGTGAGGTAGGCAGATAAGCTAGTATTCGTTAGAGTAATAATGCTATCACGTATTGAATACGTTTTGTGTACCAGGCACTGTGCTAAGTGCTTTAGGACCAACAACCCTGTTAAGGAGATATTATCTCCATTTCATAGGGGAAGAAACAGACTTGCACAAAGTCACTTAGCACATAGTTGAGGTGAGAACTCAAAACCCTGGCTGAAAATGAAGGCCATTGTGTGTGTGTGCCTTTAACACACACAGCTTGGTATCATGTAACATAGCTAGTGAGTCACAGAGCTACAGCTGGGACCCAGGTCCCAAGTCCGGAAAGTTCCACTCTATTCAGCTATGGCTTGTTCATGCTTGTCAACAAGGGCAGAGTTAATTTTGTTATCCATCCATGGTGAGATTTTTTTTTTTAATATTTTATTTATTTATGTTAGAGAGAGTGTGTGTGCCCATGCACACGGACGTCCATGAGCAGGGGGAGGGGCAAAGGGAGATGCAGAGAGAATCCCAAGCAGACTCCAGCACTGAGTGGGAGCCCACGGCGGGGCTGGTTCTCATGACCCTTAGATCATGACCTGAACCAAAACCTAGAGTTGGACACTTAACCAACTGTACCACCCAGGTGCCCCATGGTGAAATTTGTAAGATGACAAGAAAGATCTTTCAGTGTTTCCTCCTCTCTACCTATCATGGTGCCTAATATCTACACAAAGATGAATTGCTATAATTAAAGATTGATTGGGGGTGCAAAATGCAAATAAGCCTGTGAAAGTTAAAATGCAAACTCTTATCACATGTAGTAGTAAAAGGGCTCTGGAATCTATCCAAAGAGGGTTGATGTAGTCATCATTTCACTATGTATATGCAATTAATCATGTTGTATGCCTTAAATAAATACAATTTTTATTTTAAAGTAAATTAATTAAAAAGCATAAAAATACATTTGACTTATAAAAAATAAGAAAGATAAAAGTGAGAGAATTTTTCAATTTCACCTGTTTTTTCTTTGGATTAGAAAAGGTCTTAGGAAGATGGGGAGGTGAGGTATAGAATAAAAGAAAATCTGAAAATATTAGTTTACTCCCTGACATGAGGCAATTCA